TGACTCAAGACTCTTGAAAGGCAACAACAAATTAAACTCAAACTCAGAAGACAAGAAGAAGTAACAAAAACCAGAGCAGAAATTAATGAAATATAAATAAAGAAAACAATACAAAGAATCAATGAATCTAAGAGCTGGTATAGACAGACGCTTAGCCCAGCTAACCAAAAGAAAGAAAGCAACTCCAAATCAACAAAATCAGAGATGAAAGGGGAAACATCACAAAGACAACAAGAAGATCCAGGACATTATAAGGGAATACTTTAAAAACTTCTATGCGATTAAATTTGAAAACCTAAAAGAAATGGATGTGTATCTAAAAACATGGGACTCACCAAAGCTAAACCAAGAAGAGATCAACAGCTTAAACAGACCCATAACATATAAGGAAACTGACACAGTAACACAAAACCTCCTGACTAAAAAAAGCCCAGGCCTAGATGGATTCACAGCAGAATTCTACCAGACATTTAAAGAAGATCTATATCCAACACTACTTAAATTATTCAAAAAGATAGAAATGGAAGGAGAGCTCCCAAATTCCTTCTATGGTGCCAGGATTACTATAATACCCAAAGCAGGTAAAGATACAGCCCCCAAAGAAAACTATAGACCCATATCCTCAATGAACATAAATGCGAAATTTCTCAACAAAATACTTGCAAACCGCATATAGACACACGTCCGAAAAATCATCCACCATGATCAAGTCTATGAATTTCCCAGGCATAAGTGACACATCTACAATGCAACTGCTACACCTAATACTCACAGAACTTAGAACAGGAGTAAAGAGGACACTAATGAATCTCTCGGTTCTCATTAATGAAGTTCTCTCATGCAACAGAGGGCCAGGAACACAAAAGTTCACAAACGGCCAAAGCATAGAGATTAAGGGTCTGTACATGCTGGTTCTTGGATGTGACTTCTATATTAAACTTCACCCACCCAGGGCTCAGGGAGCATTGTGGAAGAGGGGGAGGAAAGATTGTAAAAGCCAAGGAGAAGATGGATAACCATGTGGAAACAGAGTCCTACAAGCCCCTGGGACCCTGCTCATATGAATCTGGAGCAATGGTGTCAGCATACACAAGTCCCATGCAAACTGAAGCAGACGAAACAAAACAATAGGAGTGGGGAAGTGGACAGTAGACCCCAGTCTTAGCTGAAGAAATATTGGCAACTGATTACTGCTGGGTGAAAAAGAGCTGATAAAGTGAGGGACTTTAGATAAGCTAACTAGACTGCAGTAGATGAATTTTCACTGAGAAACGTCTGGGGACACGAACTTGACACAATAGGCCTTAACACAAATGACAGAGTGTATTTCCAGTGTGGAGCTATAAAAGGGTGCTAGTGGAGATGAGGGTATAAAGACGGTTAAGGTTGATTAAGATGTTGTGTATGAAATACACAAAAATTCAATAAAGACAATTTTTTTTTAAAGATTAGAAGTTTTACCTTTCCCACTTTCTATTGAAACCTTTTCCTTAGTCTCAGCTAGTAAAATCTAAGGATTCTAATGAGATTAAACAGCAACTTTCATTGTCAGCTTTGCTGGATTTAGATTTACCTAGAAAACACCTCTGGGTTTGTTTATGAGGGCATTTCCAGAGAGGTATAAATGAGGAGAGAAGACCCAGCAATACCATCCACAGGCTGGGATTATGATCTGAATAAAAATGGGAAGCTGAGCCGAGCACTGGCATTCATCCCACTCTGATTCTTCACTAAAAATGAAATATGGCCAGCTGCCTCACACACCTGCTTCCATGTCTTCCCTGCCATGTTGGGCTGTACCCTCAAACTGTGAACCAGAATAGACACTTTCTTCTTTATCATGCTTTTGTCAGGTATTTATCCCAGCAGCAAGGACAATACCCAACACAGAAGGCTCTGGACGGAATTTTGAGTGATGCCTGAGGAGAAAATCCTACCTGTGCCCCTCCCAGTTTACCGGGCAGCTCATGCACAGCTAACTGAGCTATGTTATTCACACCACGTTTTCTGTTCACTCGTGTGACAATTTCTAAAAGAAAGGCCAAAATATACTATTGCTTATTGGACACTTTTCTGTGTTTTAAAATACAGTCCTTATTGTAGGGCCACATATAATCTTGTTAAGAACTTCTGGAAAAGATTGTTATAAATGACTGAAACACTTTTCTGTAATCATCTGTAAGATTTATCTCACAAGAATTTTCTAATATTTTTCTTCATTTTATAGTAATAAATTCCTAATATAATCTATTCTCTAAGGTAATTGCACAGGAATTAACTTGTTTCTGATCAATATGGTATTTGAGAAAGAAAACATATCTTGGAAGATAACAACACTTACTTTCTATTAACATTGTTTTTCTTAGTTTATTGAACTAAAATTTTATATGCAAATTTACCCAAATATTTCATATACACATTCTATATTGTATAGAGTAAATTATATTCATTTTTTTTGTCTTTTTGAGACAGGGTCTCCCTGTAGCCTCAGCTGGCCTGGAACTCACTATGTAGACCAGGCTGGCCTCCATTTCACAGAGATTCCTCTACCTCTACCTCTTGAGTGCTGGATTAAAGGCATGTGCCAGCATGCCCAGCAAAATTACATTAATTTTAAGTGTGCAGTTTTCATATATCTATGCACGACATAGCAACCACCCACATTAAGATACAGCATATTTTTCCAAAAGGTTCCCTCATGTTTAGCAGAACTCATACCTTCTAAATAACCAGTATTCTGACTTCTATAATCATAAGTTCATGTTACACTCTCTTCACTTCATATAAATGAAGTAGAGTATGTCTTTGCATGTTTTACATCCTTTTAATGAAGCACATTGGAGTTTATTAGGAAAAGGTTTTAACATTCATGTAAGGGTAAGCATTAAGAAGGGGAGAGGGAAGGACACAAAAGAGACGAACAGTTTCATATGCCTGAAAACTGTCATGAGCTTCTTAAGAGAGCTACCTGGATTCTATTTTATTAAACAAAGTTTTGAAAATTCTTCTATAGTATACGCATGAGTGACTAATTTTTTTTCTTAAATGTCTCGACAATATTATGCTGAGTTCTCTCCTTTGTTGTTCAATTGCTTTCCAGCTTTTAGTGATTGTGACTAAAGCTGATATGATCACTATTTTCAAGTCTATTGCTAGGTATACAACTTCATTGGGTTTTACTATAACTCCATGGAAATGTATACAGCTAGCTTTAGTAGATGCAAAGTCTTCCAAAGCCAACAAACAGTTCATAGTATCACTAGGAATATATAAAAGAAAACTTGTTCTATCACAAAAGGTAATAGTTCACTCAAAAATAGTTATAAACATAAAACACACATGCATAGATACATATATACATATATAGTGCATGCATACTTACATAGAAACACCTTACTTCCTGGTTTTGTTCACTGTTTTTACACTTGGGGCATAGGTCTCTTGTTTCCCGAGTCAGGAAAGTACTAAGGTACATAACCCCAAAAGAGCAGAAGAGTGAAAAACTAAGGGAGCATGTTTTTCTCCAAATTCTAGCACAATGTTTCCTCAACAAAACAGATCAGTCTATTCCATTAAAGTGACATCCAACAAGCATGGGAATGAAGAAAACTGTATCATCTCCTTTTGAAGGATGGCCACTAAAATCAATATATTAAAGGTTCAGGGAAGTGCTATAATAAAACAGAATTTACTTTGTTCAATCCATTACTTCATGAAACTACTTGGCCAAGGAACTCTATGTGTATTTTTTGGCTTTCTCTTCTTTGAGGGGAGACAGGCTTTCATTATAAAGCACTGGTTGACCTAGAACTTGTTATAAAGACCAGGATGGCCTGAAACTTGTGGCAATCCTGACTTTGTGTTTTGAGTGCTGGGATTACAGGTATGTACCACCACATCCAAATATCATTTTTATAGTACACTTATAACTTTCCTCTTTTTTTGCTTTGCTTTTTATCATTCTTTAGAATAATGTAAAATTCCCTTTGATTTAGTGATGATTCATAAGTTTGAGATTTGTATTTCCTTGAAAAAATAAAAATCTCAGGAATGAATACCATTATGAAATAGTATTAAGCTTTTGATAATATATGTGTGAGAAGTGGTGATGGGGAAGGAGAAGGATTACTACATCTGACCATTAAATGAAAATACAAACATGGTATTCTTACTGTCCAGGGAGACCCAGTTGGCCATATCCATATCCTTCTTTAGTCCTCTCCTTCAAACCTCCTCTTATCATGTGCATCCTTTTGACATTACACTTGAATATTTGTGATAATATTTTCTGAATGGATCAGGAGACAGATGACCACGGTACTAATTCTTACCTCCCTGGCATCATCTGTAGTGAGGTTACATGCATGATGTAAGAAAACATAGAATGTTATAGAAACAGTGTGTATTTTTTTAAAATAGAAGAAAAGGAGAAATATGACAAGAAGAATGAAATCAGAGGGCAATTTTCACTCTCCTCCAAAACTAACAAGACTGCAAAAAGGAACGTGATCCTCAAAGGAGAGTCAACAGACTTGAGGAGTGATTAAAGTCTGAGGCATGATTGAGAACTATTCTATGCCAAGTAAATTTAATTTCATTTATCCGGTGTCCTTTATGTAAAAATATTCCACGAGTTTTCCCTCTCATTCTTTGCAATAAATTCCATTGAATCCAGCTTAAAATTTCCAAAAGGAGACTCAGGGACAAATCCAATAAGAACAATAAAATTTAAATGGGAAATATAAAACCAATTTCATAACTGCTAAAAATATTATTAAAAATAATAACCATGATAAATGCTGAGAGCAGGGTGTAGTGACCACACTGAAAAGCAAAACTGCAGGCAATAAAGCATTGTGGATGCCCTCCCTCTTCTGCGGAGACCACAGCTTAGACTTAGGAGCACATGGTTGCTTATAATAATTTTCACTTGGCACATCTCAACTGCATTAATGAATCATTCCCAATTCAAATCAAGTGCAAATATAAAATCCACTCACTTGTACAAAACCACATGCTATGAAGTCCTCAAAGAAGGGAAGACTTGGGCGGTCTTCTCTATAGATGGTAAGTTTATATGTTATTAGGGTGTCGCCTTCTGCTAGAGAGTCATCCACCACAAGCAAGGAAATTTTGTTCATTCCTAGTCCCAGAGGGTAGCTGGCAAAGCTGGAGTGGGCAGGTGGTAGGGGAGAGGGAGAGAAGAGGATGAGAGAATATGAGTGGAGAACATTTCCTCTACCCCAGCAGATCAGACATCACTGTTTATTATTGTAATTCTTGGGCTTGTTATTTGCACAAATATGTAAGGTCTGCATAATTTTGTAAGAAACCTAAAATATGGAAAAAATGAAAGTGCCCTTTCATAGTTCTTTGCTATGCCAAGCGCCACCTTGCAGAACAAGTTACATCCTTCATCAACTAGAATGAAAGAAACTAATATTTTTTTTATTTTTTCAGAAGAAGCATTTCATTACAGCTTTAACATACTCATTAACAGAGAAACTAATATTTATTAACTGTTTTTCAGGGTTAGGCATTATCTCTAATACAGTACTGTATACAGAATTATGATGGTCTTTATTTTAAATATAGAGACTATTACATAGAACTGGTAAACAAATTGCCTTAAATTACATGGGAGACTCAGGTGGTTTAGAGTATTTGAATGCCCTTTTCTTTCTTTTACACAGATTAGACTTAGGAGCACATAATAATTCTTTCTTTCTTTCTTTCTTTCTTTCTTTCTTTCTTTCTTTCTTTCTTTCTTTCTTTCTTTATTGGCTTTCCTCCCTCCACCCCTCCATCCCTTCCTCCCTTCTTTCCTTCCTTCTTTCCTTCCTTCCTTCTTTCCTTCCTTCTTTCCTTCCTTCTTTCCTTCCTTCCTGAATATAACTCAGAGCTTTGACTTCCTTCCCTCCTTCCTTCTTCATTCTAAGGCTTTTCTTCTCTTTACTTTCTTCCTTTGCTTCTCCCTTTCTTCCTTTGTTTTGAGACACATTCTCATGGATTTCAGACTGACTTCAAACTCACTGGGTATTGTGTATGCTAGGTAAGCACCCTACTGATGGAGATATATCCATAGCCCATACCCTCTTTTCTTTATATTAGATTTAACTGTCAGCAATGCCAAATGCATTCTTTCCATATACCATAGAACTGTATCTTCCTTTCTATGGACACTGCATGTGATAAGCTTCTATTCCTTGCTCAAAATTTCAGACAACAGAGTTGGTGTCTGTCATAGTTAGCTTTGCTTTTCAACTAGACACATGTGGGAAGATGGAACCTCAACTGAGGAATTTCCTTCATTATATTGGCCTGTGGACAAGTCTGTGGAGAATTTTCTTGATTGCCAGTTGCTCACTGTGGGTGGTGTCATTCCTGGGCAGATGGGTCTGAGCTGTATAAGAAAGGTAGCTGAGCATGTCGGAGGAAGCCATGCAGTAAGCAGCATTCCTCCATGGTTTCTGCATCAGTTTCTGCCTCCAGGTTCGTGCCTTGGCTTCCCTTGATGATTGACTGACTAACCTATAAGCCAAATAAGGCTTCCCTTACAAGTTAGTCTTGGTCAGTGTTTTATTATAGCAGTAGGAAGCAAAGTAGGGCAGTGTCTTTCAAAAATATCTAGAAAATAACAACAATAAAATAAGTAAATAATTTCTGTAAGATGAGGATTACACCCACAAATTTTCACCCTTGGCTGTCCAGACTAGAGAAGTTGGCTTGGGGCAGAAGAAGGTTACTGTTCATAAGCAGCAGCTCCAACAATCTGGAAACATAAAAATGACAAGAAATGGAGTTCTTCTTGATGACCATCCCCCAACATTTTATATAGAAAGAGTCTCTCTTGTTACTGAATTGGTACAAAGATTAGTTACAGGTTGTCCATAGATTGGTAGAGTACCGGTGTGTGCTTTCTAATCACACTAGGCCTAAAGGGGAAGGCTTTCACACCCTGTCATCCTCTCCAGACGGCCTGTGGCTCAGGTTTTCTGGACCACTTTCAAAAGTTGGAGCAAACATCTGCTTCCCACTGAGAAGTCTCAACTCAGCCCCAGCCCACATCCCCGTACCTTGGCCCTGTCCGCTCCTGCAGGTGCACCTCGCACTGACACTTAGAAGTCTCCGCCCCAATCATCACTGTTACCACATCAAATGGCACTTCACAATAATAATCTTTGATCTTCGGATTAAATTTAGGATTTAGTTCCAAATGTGGACGTGTGAAGATCTGCTTGATATGGCATAGCATGTCTTCCTCTGTTGCAAAAACAGAAAGGCAAAACCAGCTGTGAAATAAAGACAGATTTTTCAAACCACATAAGATTGGGATGTTTTCTCCTTGTGTTCCTTTATATGGTTTCAGTGACCAGCAACTGTCCCCTCAGTACCTGGACATCAGCTTGATTTCCAATTTTTTGAATATAGGGAACTTACATATCACAGTTGCTCTCTTTATTGGTGTGATACAGATGTTTTTGTTTTTGTTTTTCTCAGTCCTTGAAAGTATAAAGGCACAGGAGGTGGGAGAAATGTCTCTCCTGTGGGCTGATAACATTCTCATGATATATATGGTATATCAATTAACTGTGTAAATGGAGACAATGACTCTATGGGATGGTGACAGAAGGGAACCAGCAGGCAATCAGGAAACTTTCTAATGAAAAATGTCATTGCACTACTATTAGGTTGATAAAGGAGTGCACAGCAGTAGCGTGGAACAAAGTACTGTGCTAAGCATCCACAAGAACATCCTGAAAGCCCTTTCTTCCCAAGTCACCTCAACATGGAAAAAAGTCATACTTTAAAAAAAAAAAGGAAGCTCTCTAGCCTGTTCAAACCTATTCTAGAATCTATAATGTCACAGCATTGACAATGAAACACTCAAGAAAGCTTTCCAATGCAAGTTTTACAACTGTGAAGTAAAACTGTGAGTGGCATATCCACCAGCCACTGTCAAATTATATCTGATATTAATATTTGGACTGAACCAACTGTACAAAGCTTAGCAAAAAGGCTTTCAAAGACATACCCACAGGCATTTTATGTTATTGTTTATAATAGTCAACAACATCCCAGAAAAGATAAATATGGAAAATTCTATTGAAATCAGCAGTGACAGTATCCTTGCATTGCATTTGTATAAAATGTTCAAGGATATTGAACAGCAGAGCAGTGAAAAACAAGATGGAATTTAGTGTGAGAAGCCATGGAACTGCAGCTAGCAAAAAGGCAATATTCTGCTAATTATCTTTCTCTACTTTTATACAGCTATCACAAGGCTTCCTCTGAAATCAAATCTGATGATTTCTTTCAAATTTGCAGTAGTTTCTCATCATTTCCAGAGTCAAAGAAGGGAGCCAGGCATTTCACAAGCCCTTCCTTGTTTTGCTTTCCACTGCTTCTTCTGTTTGTCCTGAACTTTGTACTTCACGAAGAAAAAAATTCTCATGGACCTGGGAAAGCATCACTAAGTGCAGGGGAAGAGAAGCCATCAATCATCTGGCTCTAGGTCTGAGAACCAGGTCTCAAAACAATGAAAATGAATGCTATACATTCTGTCCTCTATTCTGTGAATTTCTCAGCTTGTGGGAGGAAAAAAGAACCTTCAAGAATAAATTAGAGCAACAATAGTATAATATATACCTTGTAATTTCATTTTGTGGTAAAGTCTTAATAAAAAAAAAATCAAGTCAGTTTTGTTGAGCCACTCAGGGATTTGGGTAAACCACTTGCTTAATTGTACTTGAAAGAGTCAATCAAAGATTATTGATACACATAGGTAGACTGCATCTATATTTTACTAATCATAATAATAAGCCTTAATATCTTAAAATTATGAATGCAGAGAGCATTATGAGAATTCATTCTGAAGGTGATCATAGCTTTAAATTCAAATTCAATAGTTTTTTTAATAATGTATCAATTTTTTAAGCCAAAGGTTTTTCCCCTAGAATATTTTCAAGGATAAGCACAGCACAACTAGGAGATTGAGAGTCATGAGATTCGATTCAAATGAATGTTCTGTCCACAGCACAGCACTAACAGAACAGAGCAACAATAAGCGTTCAAGTTGGAAGGCCACTGCCCAGCCAGAAGGGCACGAAGACACTTTGTGCTCAGAGCCAATTTAATGAACACTAAGGCAGTAGACTGCTTTATCAAAATGAATCACCGAAGATACTTTTTTATTTTTCTTTTTGTTTTATTTCATTTTAATACAGGGTTTTTCTACACATCCCACACTGACCTTAAACTTGTGATCTTCCAGCCTCGGCCTTCCCAGCACTGGGATTACAGGCCTGTACCACCACTCCTGACCAAGAATATATTTTTATAAGGATTCAGTGAGAATTCATTTTCTTTAAGTTTACATTATTAACATTTCTTTTTATATTTCACTGGAGTGGTCACAGTTTTTCAAAGGAGGCTTGTACTTACTATAAATTGAACCTCACCCCTACACGAGATTAAAATAAATGTGCAATTATTTTCTTAAGATATTTGCAAATGCTCTTTTCTCCCAGAAACTTTTGCACCTCTGGGTAGGGTGCTGTGTCGCAGAGTCCTGCTTGAAAGTTGATTTAACTCTGACATCATCGCAGCTAAATGGAGGTTGCTGCCTGTAAACACCTGGCATATCCCTGGCATCTTTCCCAGCCCAGTCCTGACTTGTCTCGGGCCAATTTACTTCAGATCTATGGAGAACCCAGTGCAAGGGATGGTGGTAGCAGACTGCTTAACCTATTTGGCAAGCAGACATTGGAAAGCTGTTTGAAGTTTGGGTTGTTTTTAATGATTTCTTTTAACCACAGACTTTTATTGCTCTCTTGAGGGATCATCGTAACTCATATTAAACACAAGAAGAGCCTAGACTCTTAAAGATAATCCCACCTTCTCAGGAGCATCATCCAGTATATTTTTAAATCTTATATTATGACATAAAAGTAGAAAGATTAATTATGAAGATCCTGGTAGGACTCGTTTTTAATCAGGAAAAACAAACAAACAAAAAAAACCTGGAACAAAGTTGGCAGGCTTATCTAACACATTCCTCTTATCTATAGGGAACTGAACATACTGACCTCACCCAGAAAGTCCTTTCATTTGGAAAATAACACAGAAGCCTAAAGAGGTAAGAGGACTTTCCCATGTTGCATCTAGCCCCAGGCCTAGAGCAGAACAGACTCTGAAAAAATGTTGCTATAATTTTGCTCCTTGTTCTCTCACTAACCTTGTTCCAATCTTTGCAGTACCAGGAGCAGCAGTGACCCGTGAGGAAAGCGAACCAGGCCTTTGTAGGTATGGGAGATTGGTGGTATGGGTTGAACATATGCTCTCTTTTCCCTGTTAAGTACAGCAGTACTTGAAAATCTTATGTCTGTATTTGGGATGACTTGTTCATTTTCTTAAACTCTGTTACTATATTGCTTCCCAATCTAGCATGATTTTTATGAAAGTACTGAAACACAGTGATTTAATAACATGTATCTTAGTAGGTAACAAGTTGGATTTTATTAAATTAAAAGGCTTCTAAACTCAACCTAAGTTCAAATATTACATTTTTTTCAACTTTCATGTTTTATAGGAATTGACTTTTTAAAAATTTTTTGGAAGACTAAATTTTTAAAACACATGGTTTAGCAAAAACTATAGATGAATTGATAGGCATGGCTGTATTTTAAGAGGTGTGTGTTTGTGCTGGATAGCTTCAGGTGTCAACTTGACACACCTGGGTAGAAGGACCCTCAACTGGGGCATTTCCTCTATTGGACTGGCCAGTGGTCATCTCTGAGGAGCTTTTTCTTGATTGTTGAGTAATGTGGGAGGGCTCAGTCCCCTGTGAGTGGTGTCATTCCTGGGAAGTGTTAGGGTTCCAAACAGCAGCAGCTTCCCTGCTCCCCAACAGGGACCGACAGATTTTAGAGCCCGAAAAAGGGAACTGAGCTGCTGAGAAGCAGCCTCCCTTTCCTCTGATCTCCAAAGATAAGATAAGCAGATTCTACCTGTTAACCAGAGATTTTAGAAGTTGTTTATCACAACAGCTTTTCTCTTATCTTAAGAGGGAAAAAGTAAACACTTCCAGACCCTAATCCGCCCTTCCCAGACATCTTTCCCTTCCCTGACATCTTTCCCTTCCCTGACATCTTTCCCTTCCCTGACATCTTTCCCTTCCCTGCCCTTCGCTGATATCTTTCCCTTCCCTGGGGGAAACGTGTCTTGTGCGAAATAAAGCTGTATCCCGCTGAGAATTCTATCTGTGCCTCGCTGCCTCCTCCATCGCGCTCTCCTCTCTCCAACATTTTTACCTATCAGGAAGGTGGTCCTTGGTCATAGAAGGAAGCAGGCTGAGCACAGGCAAGAGGAGCAAGCCAGTAAGCAGGAGACCTCCATGGTTTCTGCTTCAGTTCCTGCCTCCAGGTTCTTGCCTTATTCAAGTTCCTGCCTTGGCTTCCCTCAGTGATGGGATGTTACTTGGAAGAGTAAGATGAAATAGACCCTTTCCTCTCAAAGTTGGTTTCAGTCAGTGTTTTATCACAGCAATAGAAAATAACGAGGACACTGTTGAATGGCGTTAGTTAACACCTTGACACACCTGGTTAGAGGAAACCTCAGCTGAGGGATTGTTTCCACTGGATTGACCTGTGGCCATGTCTATGGGGCATTTTTTTTTTTTTCATTTTTGAGTGATGTGGAAAGGCCCAGTCCACTGTGGATTGTACCACCCCTAGCAGGTGGTCTTGCTATAAGAAAGCAGGCTGAGCACAAGCCAAGGGAGCAAGCCACTAAGCAGCACTCCTCCAAGGTCTGTGCATCAGTTCCTGCCTCAAGGTTCCCGCTCTGAGTTCCTGCCTTGGCATCTCTCGGTGATGAACTGTGACCAGGAGTTGTAAGATAAAACAAATTATTTCCTCCTCATGTTAGTTTTCATCAGTATTTTTGTTGCAGCAATAGAGAAGCTCACTAGGACAAACACATTGTAAAAAGGATGTGGTGGCGCATGCCTTTAATCCCAGCACTTGGGAGGCAGAGGCAGGTGGATCTCTGTGAGTTCAAGGCCAGCCTGGTCTACATAGTGAGTTCCAGGCCAGCTGGGGCTACAGGGAGACCCTGTCTCAAAAAGACGAAAAAACAAACAAAAAAACCCTATGTTACAGAACATTTGCTTTTTTCAGGATATATTATAAGATATTAAGAAAATTCAGGTCCTTTGGACAAATCTGAAGTCTAGTATCATAACCCATATCAGGTATCTAACACCCAGTAACCTTGAAAGTCAGACTCTCTAGAAAGATGTTTGCAAGACCACTGTACCAGTGTTAACCAGATGAACAAAATAATTTTTAAATTTAAAATCTACATAAACTTAAAATGCACATATTTTTATTGTGCATAGTAAAAAATTCTCAGTTTTAAGAAGATATATTGAAATTTGAATTTAAAACTCCCAACAGTTATGAAGAAAATCTTACTCAAGTACTTTTCATTATCGCAAACAATTGAGAGGAAATAAATTACTTCAGAATGATGAGCTTCTTAAACACCAATGGATCAGGCTGATGATCAGCCAAATTTCTTCTCTAAGGTAAAGCCCTAAAATCCCCTGGGTCCTTCAAAATGAATTTGGAAGTCACTGTCCTAAAAAATTTATAATATTTCATACTAGAAAAGAAATGTTCTGTTTATAAAAAAGTGACAGATATTACTTCAATCAGGTCTATAAAGTTTATATTTAAATTTATTTAAAATAAATTATCAGTCCAAAGATACGCAAATACAGTAAAATGCTTTTTTTTTTTTCAAAGTGGGACTGTGCCAAAACTGTGGAGTGTGCTATTGAAACATTTAAACTCAACTTACCATAACTGCAATGTATATCTTTATTTTTATCCATAATCTGTGGAACTGCAGCTAAAGTAAAAAATATATATAAATTAAAAATTAAAACTTTTAGTTCAGTTTTAAAATTACACATTTAGTTTTCTTAAAGGATGATTCAGTAAAACGCATTATTTAGCTTTTGTTTTGCCAATAAGGCTTTCATTTTGTGATTTGTGTGTGTGTGTGTGTGTGTGTGTGTGTGTGTGTGTGTGTAGACGAGAGAATGATACTGGGTATCTTCCTCAGTCGTTCATCACCATTCATTCATTCATTCATTCATTCATTTATTTTAGATTGGGTCTTTCTCTGAACCTGGAGCTCACTGATTGGCTAGAGTGGCTAGCCAGGAAGGCCCAGGAATCTGCACATCTGCCACTACCATTTCCGCACACTCAAGCACTGGGGTTACAAACATTTGCCGCCATGTCCAGTTTTTAACTTGTTTGCTGGGGTTGGAACTCAGGTTCTCACATAGAAATAATAGAATGCACTTTATCAATTGAGCCATTTCTCCACCCCTCACCACTGAGCATTTCTAAGTAAAGCTGACAATTACTGTAAAACCTACTATTAGGTTCAAAGCTCAAATGAGTGATTATTTCAAGTAAAAGAATATGAAGGAACAAATGAATGGTCTGATTGTCATCTTTGACTTGAAGGTGAATGACTGAAAGTTCTTCTAGTTCTATGCTCCTGTAGCTATAATTTTCTAAATCATTAGAATTCAGAAATTTAAACCAGTTGGTTACATTACTTATTCCAAATTTCTGGATAACAAAACACCCATCTAAAAATCTCAATTACTATTTGTGGAACAAATGAATGCATAAAATATGCAGAGTGTTTTAAATCAGTCATTAAAAAAAATAAGGCTGGAGAGATGGCTCAGCAATTAAAGCACTGGTTGCTCTTATAGAGGACCCAGGTTAGGATTCCAGCACCCACATGGTGGCTAACAACCACCTGTAACTCCAGTTCCAAGGGATCTGATGCCCTCTTCTGGCATCCTCAGGAATTGCATGCATGGGTGCACTTACATACATGCAGGCAAACATTCATACATAAAAAATAAAAATTAATTAAGAAGCAAAAACCAGTGGTGACAGAGAGAGGCAGTCATGCCCACCAACATCCACTCTTTACTGGGTCCAGTGGTTCATTTTGCTGAATCTCATCTCATAGCCGCATACCAAAATTCTGGGTAGGAGATTCAGGGTGCTGATGTTCATCTATGCAGCACCACCAAGAACCACAGTATGAATTAAATCCTGGTTTATTACAGGAGTACTTTGATTAAAAGGAATAGATATATGACTGGGTATTTCTTTTCATTTTTTTTCTTCTTAAAATTAAGACTATTTTCTTCTCTCATGACAAAACACTAGATATACTTTAGAAAAAAAATTGAGAATAAAGATATGGAGAAAAATTAATATCACCATTAAATTTCCTTGAGGTTACTTTTCCTAGAAGGCAATTGTTACATTCAAACACACACACGCACACACACACACACACACACACACACACACACAC